AAATGATTTCGTAAATATCTTTCTAGATTATTGGTCCTCCTCGTTTCTTTAATGTTTCTCATCTTATACTTGATGGACAATGGCGAAATCAACATACAGTTGATTCTATTGATTCACTTGTTTGTTTATCTAATATAACTAAATTAATACGATTAGAACGTGTACCAACATTAATCTTTCGTACATTTATTTATCGTTTAACAAATTTACAATCATTAACATTAACAACATTTGTTCTTGATGGTATGAATGCTGCTATTTTACAATATTTAAAATGTTTACATTCATTAAATATTGTACAATTGGATGATAATTATCGTCATTTTGTTAATGTAGAACCATTTTGTACAATGTTTCCTCAAATTGAACATCTTGATATTCCAATTGATAATCTTGATAGTTGTCAATATGTTATTGATCGATTAGGAAAATTTTTAATTAGTATTGTTTTTCGTTTTCCGATTAACGAAGAAGAAGATGATGATGATGATGATGATGATGATGATGATGATGATAATGATGATGACGATAAAAATAATGAACTTATTGAATGGACACAAAATATAGAACAAAATCATCACTATCGTATACGTGATGGTGATATTTATTTATGGTTTTGATAAAAATTCTATTCAATAAATTTATGAAAGAAAAATTTCAGGCTAGTAGTCAAACAAATTTGTATAGATATTGTATTTTTGTTTAATTATATGAATTTGAAAGATGAGAAATAAATATTATTTAATTTTTTATTTCTGCTTGAATACTGAATACTCAACGAGAAAATAGAATAAAATTAATTTATCATTTTCATTAATTCTATATTTCAATTTGTATATTCTTATTGCATATATGAAAAACATCAATAAAAAGAGTACTTTATGAGCTAGAATTGATTCTACTGAATGTCATTTTCTTATCTAGATCAAAATATTCCACTTGATTTATATCAAACTAATCATGTTTGAATAATCAAAAAATCGACGACATCTTTGTAATTGAATTTAATACTAGTAAATAATTGTCATGACAAAAATCAACAGAACTTTTAACATCGAATGAATTTTACTTGATAGAATAGCAATAATGGCATGTTTTTAATCCTTTTTTTTTGTTTGGTTGTTCTTCTATTGTTCTTTCAACAACAAATACTACCAACATTTGTCAAATAATGAATAACAGTATAATGGAAACAACACAAGATGTAATCGATCAAAAAGATGCACTAGTACCGAGCAGCACTCGATTATCTTCAGCATCATCAAAAATAAAGTCTAAAATAATGTCTCGTTTTTGTATATCAATCGATGATGATCCACTTATATTACTTAATATTGGTGGTATACATATGACAACAAGACGATCAACACTTATGCGTATTCCAAATAGTGTACTTGCACTTGCTTGTATTAGTCCATGGTCAGAAACTATAACACGTGATAATGATGGACGTTTATTTTTTGATTGTGATCCAAATTTATTTCAATATTTATTAAATCAATTACGTGATTGGTCATCATCAATACGTAAAGTATTTACTTTACCAAATGATGAATTTGAACGAGAACAATTTCGTTCACTTTGTATTCAACTTAATTTTGATTTACATTTAATTGATGGAATTTATCGACATGAAAAATTTAATAAAATATGTGGACATGTTATACTTGATGAAAAAGGTATTGTTGTTAGACATGCTAATAGTTATCGATATGCTGAATGTCGTGGAGTAAATGTTTATTCAACAGGTATTAATCGTATAACATTAATACTTAAACATCAAACTATTGATAAATATAATACATTTATTGGTATTATATGGTCAGGTACACCAATGCAAGAAAAATCATTTGAATCACCAACAGCTTATGGATGGACTGGACAAAAACAAGTTTATTTAAAAGGTATACCAGCAGTAATACAAGGTTATGGTGGATATGATTCTGATATATGTACAAAAGATACAATTGATCTAATATTAAATTGTCAATTAGGTTTAATTTCTTTATTTAATCATCGAACAAGAAAAATTTATGAAATACAAGTTGATATAAAAGAAGGTTGTCCATTACCTTGGCAATTACATATTAATTTATTTGGACCTGATGATCAAGTAAAAATAATTAATCCATCTTAATAGAGTTGTATGTGTTAGAAAAGAAAAAAACCGAAAAAGAAACAAAAGTACCATTTCTAGCTTTTTATTTATAAAAAAAAAATTAATTTAAATAAAAATTTTCTTTTTCGAATATAATTTTTATTTGTTAAGAATTATAGATTAAATAAAGCTCGAAGATTTATAAAAAAAAACATCTCTCTTAAACTCTATCCGTTCATTTGTAAATTATCTTCTCAATCGTTTGAAACACTATTGATGCTAGTGAGAGACAAATCATCGTATATCTCACGAATTAAGATGCAAGTACATATGTATGTGTACGCTTCAAGATAATTTTGTTGCTACACAAACGTTTCTATTAAGCATACACCGAACTCAAACTCCGGTTCAAAACGAAATAAATAGTAGCTTTTATTTCTCAAGCCTCTTACAATATACTACTAACTGCGCTAGCTCTAAACAATACATTCGAGAATGAACGTTAGAACAGATTGTATCTATATCTTTGATCAATTCAAATAGCTACAACATGTAGAAAAGAAGATCAATTGATAGATATAAGACAGAAGACTTTTTGCTTGTATCTGAATGTTTTAAAATAGACACAGAGAACAAGACGAAATAAGGAAACATTCATAAGAATAACAATACATCTATTGATGTGAAACTGTTTTGTCCATATCAGACTGAACCTTTGGGTTCGGTGCATGTCTAGTTTCTGTATCAGCTCATCGAATGTTTGTCTTGATGGACGTAGCTAGCACTATTATTTGCCAAAAAATAATTCCCAATAAATTAGAAATGTTTCCATACGATCTGCATTACATATTTTATTTTCCTTACATGTTTCATTTATTTATCGAAAACTGAAGTTATATGAAAACTCTTAAATAGATAGCTAGTCTTATAGTAAAGTAACTTATTTAATAGTAGTAAAGAAAAAGACAAACAAATGTCAAATGATCATCAATCAAGGTTTTTTTTTCAGGATATAAATAATTTTATTCTCTGTTATAATTGTTAAATCAAATTTCTATAATCATTTCTAAAGTTTGAGAAACAACTAGAAGTGATTATGTATTAATGATACTGTGATTTCTTCACGAAAACAGTTTTATCTATTGAATAATCAAGAGAACATGTATCTCTTACTATACTTTAATGATATTTCTTTCGAAATTTATTTGTTGAGACTTTGGCTTTCTTTTATAATTCTCTAAAAATTGGTATGTCTTCTCTTATTTTAAATATCATTCATTATTTTCCAAAACATGCTTAAAACGAACAATCTAATATGAATAATCTTGTAAAAGAACCTTATTGTTGACAGAATGTTTCAATGGTATTTTTCTCAATTAATTCAATCAACAAATGTGTTCGAAATCGTACACCATTTTTGTGTTCATTGACGGATATGAGATTTTGTACAAATGATGTTAGATCACACTTGATACAACGAAAATATTCCTTGAATAGTGCTAAAACAATATGGAAATTTTTAGTGTACGATAGAACAAAGCCTCATATCTGTCAATTAACGCAAAAATAATGCTGGAACAATTTTTTCTCTTTCGGCAATAAAGAATCATTGATCATCGAATAGTTCAAATTTAAATTCATTACAACATTTGATTTCGAAACGAATTTACTTATTGTATCAATTGAGAAAAATAGTTATATTACGAGATAGTCTTAAGGAAGAAATGCAACGTTTCATCCAAAAAACTCAAGAAAAAAATTGTTTTACAAGATTATTCAATTCAAACGTGTTTTGAAACATGATGAATAATATTTTAAAAAATAAAAGACGTACCAGTTTGTAGCTGATTAAAAGAAAAAGCTTCACAAAAAAAACAATCAAATTTTCAACAAACGAATATAAAAATAAATATCACTAGAATATCGAAAGACCTATTTTTCATAGAACATCTAATAAAAGCGATGGGTGTGGGTGTTGGTATTGTCTTCACTGATATTCACATCCATACTCTAGTTACCTATGTCGATTCCCTTTTTGTTTCATTTACTACAATCTTTGTTATTTAAAATATGAAATTCTATTGAAAATTGAATCATTGTAAACGTAAAACTGGAAAACAAGCCGAGAAGTTTCACAATCGACAAGAAATTTCGAAGGATAAATCTCAGTTTTAATCACCATGAAGTCTTACATTTTTCGTTTTCTTTTTTTTTTTTTTTTGAACAAGCAGGTTTTGTAAATTGATAATTTGCTGAATCAATTGTTTTTCATTGTGACCTGGTTTTCATTATGAAATTTTGTACCAAATTAAATAATACAATTAGTCGAAAAATGGATTTAGAATTAATTCGACCGCGAGAGATAGTTTAACTTTAATCAACTAATCCTACAGTATTTCAATTTAATCAATGACAGATACTATAATGATAACCAAGGATCACAGATAATGATGTGAGATGTTGACAGAATCCTTCTTCCTCTTTCTGAAAACCTACCAAACTTTCAGGATTCCGTTTTAGGTCGCAGATTTGAGAGCTTTCTTCTATAAAAAAAAACCCTATCAAAAAGGACTGTCACTCTGCTTTGGAGTGTACTGCATCTATGCATATGAACTACAATGTAGAGATTGAGGTTGCCTGTAATTGATAGGTTATAATTTAGTATGATGACAGATACGGAATTAATTTGTCAAAAAATCATTCATTGTATTCATCTTTTTCTTAGTATTTGCTTATGCACTATCAACGTTAAATAGTTGACAGCTACTAATATATACATTCATGAGGCCTGAGAAAGCGAAAGCCTGTCATGAATTTACGCTTCATAGGCTAGTGTAGACTCAAACACTCTTCTCCTTCTATTCGATTGATAAATTTGAACAGTTCATCACATGAGATCCTTCATTAGAAGTGAAGAAGATTTGTACGAAAAATCTATGCCAGATTAATTAGAATCTGCTAAAATTTTCCTTCACCTTCAGCAACAAAGGTTACATGCCTATTAAATATTTTCAACAATGAAAAATCTCATAATTCAACATCTGTTTTTTTTTGTGAACCATTTCTGCTTTGCCATTAAACTATCTTTTTGATAAAGTAGATCAGAATTTCTTCTTTCGAAGGTCACATTTCGATAAACATAAACGCTTGCATGTTTCTTCAAATGTATGTGCATTTTATGTAAATTGAGAATTCTTTTTTTTTTCGCTAATCGCCACTACTGTATTTCATTTCAATGGCATCCAAAACTTCGTCTTCATTCATTTTTAATTTCCAGACAAGAATCTTATAAAAGAATGTTGAACCTACTCTAGAATCAAAAACGTTCTGCCACCTATGTGTACATTGAGGGAATAGTTAAAACATTAGAAAAAGAAAAACTTCTGTAATATTCAAACGTATTAAATGCGCTTGAACAAGAATCACTAATGCTAGGACAATAATTCAAGTGCATGAGTAAAAATATTAAGTGATGAAACAAGAGGTTTAAGTGCTTGAGGTCGTTAATAGGTTTCAAGTCTG